TACGTGGATGGTTGCGACTCTTGTCTTCGGGTCAAATCCTCAACCCAGAAACCATTTGGGACGTTGGAACCACTGCCCATCCCTGCAGGCCCGTGGACAGACATTAGCTATGATTTGATAACAGACCTCCCCCTATCCAACAATTGCGACAGTATCCTCACTGTGATTGACAGACTGACTAAAATGGCCCACTTCCTTCCTTGCAATAAGTCCATGAACTCTGAATAGCTTGCAGATCTTATGTTGAAACAGGTTTGGAAACTCCACGGCACACCAAAGACAATTGTCTCGGACAGAGGAAGTGTTTTTATCTCTCAGATCACACAAGAATTGGACAAGCAACTTGGAATCCGGCTCCACCCTTCGACTGCCTACCACCCTAGAACTGACGGACAATCCGAAATCGCAAATAAGGCGGTGGAGCAGTACCTATGGCACTTTGTTCAGTACCGACAGGACAACTGGGAACCCCTGTTGGCGACGGCGGAATTTGCGTACAACAACAATGACCACGTCTCAATTGGAGTCTCACCGTTCAAGGCGAACTACGGTTTCAATCCTTCATACGGCGGGATCCCATCAAGTGAACAGTGTCTACCTGCGGTTGAAGAGCGACTCAAACAAATTGATGAAGTCCAGTCAGAACTCAAGTTATGTCTAGAAGCAGCTCAAGAATCAATGAAGACCCAATTCGACAAAGGAGTAAAGGACACCCCAATTTGGAACGTTGGCGAGGAGGTTTGGTTGAACAGCAAGAATATTTTGACAACAAGACCTAGCCCCAAGCTGGACCACCGATGGCTGGGACCATTCCAAATTTCTAAGAAAATATCACAATCTGCGTACAAGCTGACTTTGCCATTATCCATGCAGGGTGTTCACCCGGTGTTTCATGTTTCAGTACTGCGGAAGCACAACCCGGACACCATCACTGGAAGGCGCCATCCATCACCAGAACCCGTACAGGTCAACAATGAGGAGGAGTGGGAAGTGGAAGGCGTACTGGACTGTCGGAGAAGAGGGAAGAAGGTCGAATACTTGGTCAGCTGGAAAGGCTTTGGACCGGAGGAGAACTCGTGGGAACCCAAGGTCAACTTGGAACACTGTCAAGAACTGGTCGCCGAATTCAACATCAAGTTTCCGGATGCGGCGTCAAGACACAAGAGGTCACGGAGAATGAAGTGAGAGGGCAAGCTTTTTCCCACTGGGTTTTTTAACGCTGCCCGGGGAAAGAATGCAGAGCCAAAAGAGGAGGATTTTTTTATTTTATTTTTTATCCATAGTTAAATTTTTCTAGAACAACAACGGGGGCGGCTTGGGCATTAAAGGGGGGATAGTGTTATGAGCTGTGGAGGACTGGAACTGGGGACGTTACATATGTAGAGAGCCTGTTACGTACATGTCACGAACTTCAAACTTGGAGTTCGTTCGAGATCCGAACCTTGTACATTCCTCATCTTGCAATCTACCATCAAGAACCAGAACCCTGAAGATCCCCTCCTGCTCTCCCCAGAACACCCATAACAATTTACAAAAAACAGATATTACAGAATTATCTCAAATCACATAACAGAATAAATTAATAAACCCAAAAAGAAAGGTCTTAAATTAATTAAAGAAGAATCAGTAATCAATTATTTAATCATAAGGCAGAAACCCACTCAAAAAGATCAAGATTAAAATAGCACTAAACCAATTCATCATTCAGCAGTTCATCATTAATTAATTATTCAGCAGCACATCATTAATTACACAGCTGCTCATCATTAATTACATATTATTTAAGGATCTGTTAAACTACACACATCAAAGAGCAACTAGTACATTGATCCACTAGTACCAATTTATGTTGTCACTTTACAGATCATGACAAATAATGATCAGTCAAATCAAATAATGTGCTCACAATCCTGGGCAAAGCTCCACTGATTCTGAGTGCTCATTCTTTCCCTCATTCAATGTTCTGGAGCTTATAATCTTTTCCCCTTTCACTGCTTAATCCCCAGAATATTCAGACACCAGTTAAAAATAGATAACATTTATTTCGATACTTTACATGTAACTCAACTTAAATCATGTGAGCCTGGGTCTCAATAGTGACAGCAGGACACAAGGTGTTGGGGGGCAATTTTATATGTATTTCTTAAGAAGAAAGAAATACAATAAAATCAGGAGAGAGAAAAGGAAGAGAAATAAATGAAATGAATAATCTTTTTGTTGTTTATTTGTTTTTTGATGATTATTTAGATTCTGACAGTCTTACTTCCTCTGAGGGTAGCTGTTATAAGCGGAGCTAACTCTACGCCTCCAAATCAAAGGAAACTGAAATGGGTACTTGACACTGATAAATCAGGTCAACCACAATTTTTTAGACCAGGGATGATCAAGGTTCTTTAAAGGGAAACCTATGTAGTTTTCAGTTTTACTACCAAACAATAAGAGAAGAGAATCTTTGGAGCTTATGGAGCTTTGGGTTGATCAGGGCTTTTGGTTTAGAGAAGTGAGAGAAAAGGTGAGAGTGACAGAGAAAGAAACAAGCAGAAAGATGCTAGCTGGACTTAAAGAAGTAACTTACTGATGACACCAATGACACTGGATAGTGGGAAAGGCAGGAAAAGTAAGGTTCTTCTGGTTGATAAGTGTAGGCTGGATCTGGTACTGGTTGTTGTGGTTTCTGGGTGGTCTGGCGTCTGAAAATCCTCTGGAAGCGGAATCAACAAGCTCAGAGAGGATTTTCAAAGTTGGATTATGTAATCTGGCATGTACATGTGGTAGAGGGAGCGGAAACCTAAAGGTTGGAATAATTCTTGGAGTACTGTGAATTATTACAAAGTCAATGAAGGAATGGAGTTGGGTAAAAGTGGTCAGTGGTGACTAGGGTTAATTTTACACCAGGAATCCATTTCTGAAGTCAGAAAAGTAAAAAGTCTTAAGGTAAAAAAGATAAGATAATGTTTTGAATAGAAATGGGCAGTTTGGGCAGTCTTTTGGCCAGCTTGGCTGGCTCTAAGGCTGACAAATCAAGCCTACCTCTATTGCTCTTAAGCTACAGTCAACAACTCTACTTATCCACAATATTCAAAGCCTTGCTGAATATTCCCATTAGCAGTACCTATTGATCTTCAACTAATTTTTTTAAAGCTTAATAAGTATTGTTAGCCCTTTCCCTTTTTGGGAACCAACTAATCCTAGGTGAGTCCTAGCAACGGTGGGCCGCTACACTAACCGTAGCGGTTAGTGTAGTGTAACGTAGCGGGATTCCGCTAACGCTTAGCTTAGCATAGCAGAATTCCGCCACATCTGCGCTAACACTACATGCAAAGGGTGCAACAGTGTGCTCACTGTTAGCGCAAAAAATTGGAATTGCACTAACGCTACACGCACAGGGCTCAAAACAAGCCCACTATGCTGTGTTACAGCGCTTTTTAGCAAATTTTTAGCCTGTTTTGCCGCTAAAAGCACTGTAGCGTGGTGGTGGTAGTGGCGCGCTAACACTACAGAAAAGAAAATTGTTAGTGCTGCTACAAAGTAGCATAGCATAGCGGTGGTAGCGGGGCGCTAACACTACACAAAAAATGGCCACATTTTGCGCCGCTACGCTAAAGCTAAATGGCCTTGTAGTGTAGCGTAGTGTAGCGTAGTGTAGCGTAGTGTAGCGTAGTGTAGCGTAGTGTAGCGTAGTGTAGCGTAGTGTAGCGTAGTGTAGCGTAGCAGCCCGCCGTTGTTCCTAGTACCCTGGATGCCTATTAATACCTGGTATTGATCCGGATGTGCTGTTGATAGCAAGCCTCCCAGCAAAGACCATACTGATAGAGTGAAACCTCCTCATTACAGGACTGGTATTAACACCCACTAACTACCACTCACCATGCTCAAAACACAGTCAACTCATAATAACAACCATCTCTCAATAAACACTCAGGTGAGTTACGCAGAGGGTGACACTGATGTAGACTGAATTATGGTACATCATAGCTAGTTTTCCGTTGAATCTTATGCAGCTTAGTAGCCTAATTAGAACTTACAATTTCAATCTTATCAACAACTCTTGTCCTCATGACTGACCTCTTTCTTTTTCTATTCTCACTATTTGATTCTTGAAAATCTGATTATTGAGAATTAACGCCTCTCAGCATTTGTGGTCTTACTTGTGCTTTCTCTTGATTAATTTTCTGGCATGACTAAAAGAGATTGAGAAGGCTTGTCACGTTGTTTCTTTCAAGAACTCATATTGTTATTCCTCTCAGTTTTCATTCATCATGTTTTTTGTGATTCATTTTAGACAACCACATTTTAACCACTTGTATTTAGCTTATTTAAAACATGACTAAATGCTGTGAATAAAAATCATTGATTCTTCCACTCACTCATAGTCCGTGAACCTCTCCCAAAAAAGGCCTTCAACCTTTTTTGCACCATTTCCTCAAATTTTTCAAAACTTTTGCCCTTCCTCAGCTCAAAATTTCAACAGGATGGTGGGATTGTCAGACATGGTATGGGATAGAAAAAGAAGGATTCAGGGAATGGGGATAAGAAAGAGAAAAAAACAGGGAATAGATGAAACATGGAGAGGGGTTGGGTGGATGGGTATTGGGAAGAGTCAAAAGAAAGAAAGTTTAATAGAAAGGTATAGGGAAGTTGGGTGTGTTGGTCAAGATGTAGAGAGAGAAATATTCCAAGTGAAGAAAAAAAAGAGAGAGAATGAAAGTTGTAAAATGAAAATAATGAGCAGTGGGGTTTGTTGGGGAAGAGTTGAAGAAAAAAATAATGAGAGTTCAGAGATAGAACGGCGATCGGTTAGGTTGGATTATCTGGTAGGTGAAAATTGAGAATCATAAGACACTATAACAGGTCAACAAAGAATATGTCTTCTAACTCAAACGCCTGTAGGCTGTACAGCCCCAAAACCCAGCATCCCAGGTATGGATATGCTTTCCGATTGCAAGTTGTAGGCAGCTTAATCACACTGCACAAATTAACTCATTGGGCAAGCCAGTCCGATGACTGCTCGGACTGATGTTGCCCAACGAGTCCTGTTGTACGCCACCACTGGGCTGCTGAACTCGTCGGACAAAGTCTGTCCAAAGACTTGTTGGACTAGCTTGTCCTACGAGTTAGTTTATGCAGTGTCAGCAGGTGGAGTTGTTGGAGATATCTCTAAATATGTATATCACTGGACAAGAAGTCTAAATCTTGGGTATTGATTGATGTGAGAAAGCGATTGAAACATAAACAGGTCAATTACTTTACAACACATGAACCCCCTTATTAAAACAGTGCTAGTCTGGAGAGCGCAAGCGCTTGCGGGCCGCGGCCCGCTCGAGTTACGGTTGGGCCAGCTCCGGTGGAGATGCTCCAGATTCCGATCGGCCACCACCACCACCATCAGCAAGATTGGTCGACGACCGAAGAACGACTTTTTTAGACTACATAGCCAAGTCAAAACGGTCCCGAACCCACCCCAATCGACGAAAAACAACACATCGACAAACTACCCAGCCGCCAATGGTAAGCTCTCCTTCATCTCGTCCAGAACGTGGCGTGTCTTGAGATGGATTGCTGATAGATTTATGGCTTGTCTTTCTGGGTTGATTTAGCTTCCGCTTGCTCTGCTTCATGGTGCCCAAGGAAAACCGATGTTGGTCGAGCTCAAGAACGGGGAAACGTTCAACGGCCATCTCATTCAATGCGGTCAGTCCTTTTCTTTTCATCCATGCATCGCTCTCGTCTCTTTGCATCTACAAAACGTCCCTGGATTTTCATGTTTTCAGTCATATATATATATCACTGACTGATTTCATCGCCATTTGTCTTGAAAATCAATCGATTCTGTGCATGTCGATCACGCGTTTCTCGGGTTTTATGATTGGTCTTTGTTCTATCGACCTGTCGCGGGTTCAGATAACTTTATGAATCTCACAATGAGGGAAGTCTATCAAACAAGTGCAGTCAGTCATCATCATCATTCTTTTTCCCTATCCTTCGACATCTGCTGGATCCAAAAACGCCGATCAGTTTCTTATTCCATATGGGTTCGAATTCGGGACGCGATTAATTGGTTACTCAATCTTATGTTCATTCCGGTCCATGTGTTCTTTTTATGCAGAATGGAGAACAGTTTTGGAAGTTGCCTGAATGCTATATTCGCGGAAATACGGTAAGCACTTCTCGACCGCATTTTCTTTCCAGTTGTCTCTCTCTCTCTTAACTACTCTTTCTTCTCTCAACAAGAAAAAGAGTTACGCCTCTTAATGTTGACAAAATCTTCTTCTTTCTTCTCATGACTACTTATGTTTTTTTTTTTGGTGTGATTGATCGCAGATAAAATATATTCGAGTAACAGACAATGTGATTGATCAAGTAAAACAACAAGAGGACGCGTATCGACAACAAAACCGAAGCTCGAGAGGGGGAGGAAACCAGACGAATGAACGAGGCGGCAGGGGAGGCTCGGGTGGACGAGGTTACTCAAATTCTAATAATCGTGGCGGTCCTGGTTCAAATCGTGGTGGCGGTGGGAGGGGAAATTCGGATCGCGGTAGGGGGAGAGGGTCTGATAGAGGTCGAGGGCGATAAAACATACTCTCTCATCTGGTTGATTTACTAGTTTTTGTTGCTATTTTTTAAAAGTTTTTTTTTTTTTTGCTTTTCAATGGAAGAATTAGTTTTCTTGACAAACTGGTTGCATATAGCTCACCTCCTTGATGAAAACATATGCTAATAATCCAACCATATTTTCATTAGTTAGTATTCAGCCCACTAGGGTTTCATCTTATCCCATTGTAGGATGACATTGAGGCATGTTGAAAGATTTCAAAATGAAAAGGTGTGGTCTGGCCCTATGAATGTGGCAAGAAAATATTCTTTGTGTAGATGGCATGTGTTCCATTTTGACCACCTGTCCAACTCCAAGGGCATGACAACATTTCATGAACCAATAAATGTCTGCTTCTTTTGGAATACACAACTTATGAAACTTCATATGTATCACAACCAGAGTTCGTGATTGTCCTGTAACAGGTGGCTTGCTTTTATGTATGGTGGGATGACAAGGTGCGGCACTTTTCTTGTTCAACATTACTTTGTTCATTTTTCTTATCTCCCTCTGTTTGTTAAGCTATGCACTCGAGTGGAATCTTCAGAAATTGCACAACCAGATTCAAGCCGTCAACGAGATCCAGCACTCGAACATTCCGTGGTCATTCATTCATCAATACCATCTACGACCGGCACTATTCTCAATCGAAACCGGAGCAACCTCCGAAGGCTGATGTGATCGAGGAGCTTGAGAAGCGAGGGCTGATTGCGCAGGTGACCAGGTGAGCATCAGACCCTACTTAATCCTTGTCCCCCCTCCCAGCCGACCAATCTAAATCATCCTCAATTGCGTTCTGACCGGTCAGTCGTGCCATTCGACAGCATTTGTTAGATCACCAACGCACAATCTATCTCGGTATCGATCCCACTGCTCAGTCTTTACACGTCGGAAATCTGGTGGTGCTCATTGCCCTACTTCACTTCACGCTCAAGGGACATCAGACCATCGTTTTGGTACGCTTCTCGTTCCTTTTATTTTTCTAATAATAATAATAACAATCCCCTTCTAAATATAGAAATAGACTGTTAATCTGACGTGTTGACCTTCTTGTTTATCACTTAGCTCGGAGGAGCCACTGGATCAGTCGGAGATCCGTCTGGACGAAACTCGGAAAGAGTAGCTCTATCGGAAAACGTCTTGAAAGATAATGTCCAATCCATCGAAAAACAGTTGGAGAAATTGCTTTCAAATAGTTTCAAACATGCTTCCAACATGTTATCAATGAAGCCCCCGACAGATAGTCATTCGATCACTCCATCATTACCTACGATCAAGAACAATCTGGAATGGATGAAAGATCTTTCTCTGTTGGAGTTTCTGGGCTCTGTGGGTAGGGTCGCACGCGTGTCGGCTATGCTCGCAAGGGATAGGTCAGCTCACTACCCGGTATCTTCAGCGGAAAAATTGGAATAATTACAAAATTGGAAAAAAGAAACGGAAGATTGATGTTTCTTTTTTTATGGCTTTACTTAGTGTCAAGCAACGATTAGAATCAGGATCAGGAATATCATTTACAGAGTTTACATATCAACTATTACAAGCGTATGACTTTGCCCAACTACGCTCGAGATATCGATGCACGATCCAACTTGGAGGAAGTGACCAGTATGGAAACATTATGAGCGGAATCGAGTTGATGAGCAAACTGCAAAGCTCGCCAGCCAGTGATCCTGTCGCTCAGACACGATCCCGGGAATCGGATCCGGAGACCACTTCCAACCGGAATGTCGCCTTTGGACTTACTATCCCTTTGCTGACTACTAGAGAGGGCGAAAAGTTCGGGAAAAGTGCCGGTAATGCCGTCTGGCTTGATCCTAAGCTGACTTCTCCGGTGGAGTTTTACCAGGTTGGAATTCGTTTGTCTGTCTCTTAAAATATCTCACTCGTTCACCCCGTTTGCGTTCTTTTTGCTACAGACATTTATATCCATACCCGATTCAGAAGTGTTGAAATATTTGAAAATGTTGACCTTTGTTCCAACTGAAGAACTTGATCAATGTCTGCAAAGTTCAACAAAAAATCCGGATTCGAAAAGAGAGCTTCAAAAACTGTTGGCCAGAGAAGTGACACTATTAGTACATGGAGGTAAGCTCCGAACGCGTCTGTCACCAAAAAAAAAAAAAAAAAAAAAAAAGGAAGAGACAACTGATTGAAGTATTATGTTCTTTTTTTGGCCTTTGTTTGAAAAATGGAATATAGAGAAAGGATTGAGACAGGCGATTCAGGGAACAGAGTTTCTCTTCCCCACCGAGTCCAAACTTGAGTCTGATAGTCGAGATCATTGGAGCAAAGAGAAACTGGATGAAACGTTTGAGAACTCTCCGAATTGGATCGAACTGAAGTCTTTTGAAGTGATCGGACGATCGCTTGGAGATCTGTCAGTCACTAGTAAACTCTTCCAATCTAAAGGTCAGTGCAGTTAACCGTTGCGATCAATTCCTCGTTGTGTTTGACGTTCGTGTTCCGTTGACCACTTCGTTTTACTTTGGTATAAAATCTATTATTGTTTTTTGTATGATGTTAGGCGAGGCTAGAAGGGCGATCAAAGCTGGAGGAGTTCGGTTCAATCATCGCCAGATCACCGATTTCGATCAACTTGTGTCGCAACATCACTTGATCGACTCGGCTTACTTGTTACTGATGCGTGGCAAGAGCGGCTACTATAAAGTGGTGAAAGTTGTTCATTGACTTCCTGATTCTTGTCTTCTCTATTTTCACATTCACATCACCTTGTTTTGCAATATATCTGCAAACCTCACTGCATATTTTTCTTTTCTCTCTTTATCTGGAGATCTAATATTAGGACGTACTCGGGTTTTGCAAATGTGGAGGTTCTGTGAAAGTCACAACTTCAAGGTGTTCAAATCTGGATTCTGGTTTTCATTTTTACTTGATGATCTTAAACCGATGACTGAATGAAAACAAGTAACAGAAAATGAAAAGAAGGATCACAGAGCTAAAACCTTTGGGGCCCTTTATGATGAGATATAAAGGGTGATGCTATGATGAAAGAGAAAGAGAGAAGCAGAGAAAGCAAATAACTGAAGATAACAGGTTAATCAACAGGTTAAGCAAGATTGAAATAGCTCGACTCACAAACTTTTCTTGGCATAAGAAGGGTTGTCAAGTGTAAGATTTCAATTTTTTTTTCAGGCCTCCAACAAGCAGGAAAACTATTTTTTTGGATCGTCTGGATTTGGGTGATTGAATTGGGAATTTTGGAAGTAGGGACTTGGTCTTAGTTTGCTTCAAAGATCTACATATAACAAAAAGAATTCAATAGGCTCAGAGAGCCAAACAAAGTGTCATGCAATTTAACGATGGTGTCGACCTCCAATTCACAGTTGTTGACGCCGACGTTAGACCAAGACAGGTGCTCCATTCAAGCAACACCCCTGAAAGGGGCAAAAACAATATCACCATGTCATACTCCCCAAAATTGGGGACAAATACTGGTATCTGATAAAATCCTATAATTCATATTTTGTCTTCCTCCCCAAGCATAGACACCTGCTCAATTTAAACCTCTGTGACATCAATCATTTTCAATCTTGACCTTGTAATTAAGCTTCATCTCTCCAGAATTTCTTGTATGTATTCATCCATATCCCTTGTCTTGGGTAAAGAAATATGAATGCTGTTTTCTAGTAAGTGTCTTATGAGCACAGATGGGAACCGCGACTCTTACAACATGATTTGGCAGTTGTGAAAACAAGTGTTAAAACATGATGGGGATGGCCACAAATATGATCAAGTTTCGACAGGATGATTGATCAAAGTATGCAAGAGAGAATCAGAGTCAGTCGAGTGTGAGTTGATCAACATTTTTGCACAAATTATTGTTGCACATACAAGCAGTGGTTGGCATGTGTAAAAAGAATAAATGTCAAAACTCGAGAACTCTCTGGCTGAAAAACATCAGTTGAGAAACAGGACCTATTGGGACTTGGCAAGTGTATGCCAGCCCCAGGCCCTGCACACCCTCAATGGTAAAATAACTGATGTGTAGTCGAACATGTCGAAAAATTGACATTTGTGGCCAAACATCAGTTTTTTGGCAAGTCCCTACCAAAAAAAATGGGTGTCTGGGGCGGCAGGTAGGGCCTTTGGTGGCTGACCGGGAGGATTCTTACCAGTCATCTAGGATGTCCAATTCATGTGCAGGAGGAATTCCTAATAATCCCTGCTGGTTATCGAGATTTTATAAACTTGAAAGATGGAAGATTGAAGTTTTGATGATTATAATGTTTTATTATTTCTGTTGAAAGATGGAAAAGATGTGAGAGGTTACTTGACCGTTGAGATCCAAACGATTGTTCAAACGAGCGGGTGTGTGATTTCACTGATAGATGAAGAGGGCCCCGACTTTATGAAAGACAGGTATGACAAAGAATGTACCAAGAAAAGAAAGACAAGAGAGAAAGATCCGACTACGGTGAGTTTGCTGTAAGAGAGGAATTTGAAGAAGGCTTCGAAACAATTTTGGGGGACTTCAGGAAGAGAGCTTCAGATGGGAAGACCGGCGCCGATTCGGCAGGCTTTGACGGTGCCTTTCTTCTTCTTGCGCAAGCGTTTGACCTCTGAAAATCCGTTTCAGACAGTATGGCGTCAGTAGCCGTCTTCCACTTGTGCAGATCAAAATGAGCTCTGAGATGGGGGGGGGAGAAGAAACTCACCGGGAAGGGTGCAATCACAAACGGGGATAGAGAATATACAATCCGAGTGCATGCTCGTTGGTGGCGGGAAGCTGGGAAACAAAGATCAAGTGAGTCAATAAGAAGTGATTGATTATGTAAATTTGTTTCAGATGGCTGTTTCACGAGTCTCATCATCCTTCCACTCACGTAGTTTCGCCTTCTTTTTGAACACCATATTTCTTCTGGCATTCCCAGGCCAAGTTGGTAAGATACTGGACCGAATAACCATACTTGGATTGAAGGAGTCGGGCGTTAGGGGTCTTGTTGACGACTTTATTACCTTCTGCGCGAACGATGTTCATCATTCTTTGAGCAAAAGAAGTATTAGCCTTCCTCTGATTCCACAGCTCTTCAATTTCTGCAGGTAGATCTGAGGGGAGGGAAAGATTGCTCACAGGCCATCTTTGGTGCATGAAGACAAATCTTGCTCGTGGTTCTTGGCCCCGTTTGGACCTTTGAATCTGCAATCATCCTACCTCCAGAAATCCTCGCAAAAATCAGCCTGTTGATGCGCAAGAAAACCAATGACTACCGCGGTACTTACACTTCCAATGGTGACGAACATTTTCTGCAGGGAACAAGAAATGACTTTCAATTAACACTGTGTTGGGTTGGAGGCGCAAACCGAATACTTACGATGGATTTAAAGAACTCCGACAATGCGCTGATTTGGGCCAAAGCTTTGACATTATCAGCCATGAAGGTTTGTGTAGGATTCTTGTACAAGAAGGAGCCTTCACGCAGGATTTCGGCGACTCCTCCTTGAGCCAATAGGGGCTGGAGAGTAGCCACTTCAACAGTGGCTGCGACAACACCTTGTAGATCGTTTTGAAGGACAGTCAAGTGGGATGACATTCGGGTCCATCGAGTCTGTTTAACAAATAGCATTAATGATTTTGGAGCGGGCCCCTAGATATTGCAATTGAAATAATGGAAAAGGAAATCCATACAAAGGCATAGGGAGCGGGGTGTCTCTTCTTGGGTAGTTCATCCGGAGTGAGAGTTCGTTTTCGGAGATGCGGAGCCGGACTTTGATTGGGTGCTGGTGGAAATGGGCTTTGATTGGGTGCTGGTGGAACCGGGCTTTGATTGGGAGCTGGTGGAGTCGGGCCTGTTGGGCGAGGCGAGGAGGGGGGTGAGGGCTGTGGGCTGGGACTGGGGGAGTGGTGGTCAGGGTTTTTTGGCGTTTTGCGCCTGTCGTTCAGGAAATCGGCAAGGACCTTTGAATCATGACTAGACCAAACGTCGGCGGGCTGTTCGCCATTGGCTTGTGCGTGAGCTGCTTGTAACTCGGCGAGGAACTTCTCATTCGCAGTGGTCCGTCCAACCTGCGGGAGTTCTAATCCTCCCAGCAAACCTGCACCGGCTCCTATTGCGCTGGCGTCGACTACCATTTGCATCGCGTCTGCGGGTAGCACCGCAGGGACGATTAAAGCTGTAAAGGTAGCCAAGACTCCAACTACGACGGTGGCGACCGACCATCCGTAAAGATCGGACTCCGGCTTAACGCGGGGAATGCTGTTTGGTTCAAGAGGCCAGTGAACTTGTTAGCGTTTATGTTGTCCTAGTATGATGCCGTAGTGACAAATTCTAGTCAACTTACAAATCAGAAGCGATGTCGGCAGAAGCATCTGAAAATTACCCTCAAAGACCAGGATCAGTTGAGGCTAGTACTTCCACCTAATAATTGTGATTGACTTACCCCTCATGAGAGAGACCGCGTCTTCGATAGCGCTGTAGAAGCTGTTCATGTACGCGTTCCATTCTTGGATGGCGTAAAGGATAAGCCAGTTCACACCAGCAGCTGGATGGCAAAGCTGAACGAAAAGTGTAGGTTGAGAGGGTTAGCTGATGGAAAAGTGACTCGAACAGCGATGCAAAATACTCAACTTGGCCAGCCGAGCATTGCATGCCGATGCCGCAAAAGAAGTTGGGCATGTTGAGCTCAGCGGCGAATTGCTGAATAGAGAACAAACACCAAGAGAGGGATTCATCATAAGATCAAGTGCAATAGAACCAATGAATACAAGGATTGTGAGGTTTTTGAGACTCGCCTGAATGGTGAGTTTGTCGGCATTCGGATAGCTGGCAATGTAGTCATCAATCCCAAGATCCACCCAAGTTTGCGGTGACAAATCCATGGGTGCACATGGGTTGGGTGTAACGGCCCCATTGGGGGCCAAGCCGGTTGAACTTTGCGGTGATGAAGCCGGTGTCAGCAGACGACGGACCAGATGAGGGGTGGAGGGTGGTTGGGTGGAAGGGTCTGTAGAGCCGAGACATTGGGATGCCAACGCGCTGAACACGACAATCTGGTAGGTGTGCCGCCAACGTGTGCTTGTCGCGGAAAACATCATCAAGTTGACCAGTAATTATGCTCTCTGAATGATGAGCCTTGTTGAGAAAGATTTTGTTCCTAGTCAGTCTTCCTGAGGGGCGACGGGGGAGCTACCAAATTCTTATATAACGAACCAAAACTTCCAAAATTTCCTAGATTAAGCAAGCCTCTCGTTTCAGAGAATGAGACTGGTAAGATATTGCCAATTCCCCTAGCTTCTTAATCCAATCCCCTCGTTTCAGAGTGAGGCGGGTGAAACACCGACAGGCGCCTCTCGCGGAGCGAGCCTCTGGATTAAGAGGGGCTTGCAGCTAAAATCGGAAAAGGCCATGGACGGTTGCCATTTTGTCGGTGGGTGAAGTTTGCTTCCGTTTTTCACCGGCATTCTTCCAATGTCCATCCAGCGTCTCGGCACTCCCCATCTTGACGCAAGTCCCTCGCTCTAGAGGCCTGGCGCGAAGCCGAGCTTCTTGATGGGGAAGTGTTTGCCCTCACCATGCTCCCTCCTTCCCACTACTTTCCTACCAACGATGGGACCAGTCGAAAGGCCTGATTTCTCCTACTAATTCCGTGCTGCACACATGACCTCATCACCTGTAACCTTTTCCTTTCTCCGTGAAAAATATCGAAGCTTATGTACACCTTTCCGACAAGTTTTTGGAAGTATTCCTGGAATCTTCCAAATGCTCCCAAAACTTCCAAATGCATGATGTCTCAACATGTGTCTAAATGTCACATCTGTGTGAACCATGATATAAGGGAGACCACTTTTTTCAGAGGTGATGACTCTTCCCCAAGCTTGTAGGGAGGCTCAGTAAAATCCAAGGGTTACAATGTTGTTTCCTTAAAATTTAGCAAGAAACAAAATATGATTAATTCAGAGTCAAGATGGTTGGCTATATGGGAGAGTGCATAGCATCTATTGGAGGATTTCCCGTTATAATTTGGAGAGCTTTTTGAAACCTTAACAAGTCCTAAACTAACAACAAAATCAAAACACCAAGGCTTCTGAAAAAAAGTTTTTTTGACCAAAAATTTAGATCTAAGAAATTGACTTCTGGGAGGGTGGTAGATTGCAACGGGAAGTCATCCATTGTTCTTTTTGTCAAGTGCACTTGGTTCAAATGTTTGGGTATCCAAGGGGCAACAAAATTCAGCAAAAGACCAAGCTTTCAGGCTGTGGCTGGTAATTTTCTCAGAAGCCCCTCTTTCAGAGGTGTGCTTTGAAAGGCAGCAAAATAAGGTGATTGAGTCAAGCTAGTCCAAAGGAGGGATTTGAAAGTGATGTCTGAAGTTTTTTTGGGGTATGTTGAGATTTATGGTGTTTTCAGCAGTAATCATCTTTCAAAACTTCTGTTGAAAATAAACACACCGTGCATGCAGGCAAAGGAATTAACAGGGGAGCATAACCAACAACGGTGGGCCAGCTACGCTAACTGTAGCGTAGTGTAGCAATTTTTTGCTACAATTTAGCATAGCGTTAGCGCTTTTTTCATTTTTTGCGCTAACGCTACGCGCATGGGGCAAAACCTTGCGCTAATTTT